TCCTCACCAGGCAGTGAGCCACCGACAGTCCTCACCAGGCTGTGAGCACTTACTTGCTACCGTCAGTCATTATCTCACCAAATCTTGTTTGCACACCTTCTATGAACCATGCATTCTGCTAGGTGTAAAGTGGTGTGACAGACCCTGAGTTCACAGTCTAGCAGGGAAGGGCCACACCAAACAAGCAAGCAGGTAAATATAAACAACCAGTTGCAGTCATGATGGAAGGGTGAACAGGAAACTCAGAGACACCATGTGGAGTAAGAGCTACTTTAAATTGAGCGGTTCTAGAAAGTCTCTGAGAAAATGACACCTCAGCAGGGGCCTGAAGAAACAGGAATTAACCACGCAAAGGGTGCAGGAAAAAGCCCATGGAGCACAAGAATCACATGTGTGAAGGCCAAAGGCAGGAAAGAGCTTGTTGTATTTAAAGAACCAAAAAAGGCCAGCAGGCCCAGAGTTGAGGAAGAGTGTGGGCACTAGAAGGTGGCTCTACAGAGACAGCCAGGGACCAGATGAAGAGCCTGAGCTTCATTTTATTCTAAGGCCACAGGAGAACTTGGAAGGATTTTAGCTAGGCAGATGTGGATTGAAAAGAGGGAAAAGCAGAAACAGGGAGAACAGTAAGGAGGCGACTGCAGTGGTACAGGCTTGACTAAGGGTAGAGCCACGGAAGAGTGAGTAATAGTCACGTCTGAGACTTATGCGGTGGTCAGATCAGTAGGACCTAATGAGCGGGAAGGGAGCATCAAGAATCCCTGGCCTGAGCGAGGCAGCAAATGGTAACGCCATCGGTAGGGCAGGGAAGACTGGGGAAGTAGCAGCCTTGTGAGGGAAGACAATTAGTTCAGTTTCCAGCCTGTAATCCCAGCACTTTGGGAGGTCGAGGTGGGTGGATCACGAGATCAGGAGTTCAGGACCAGCCTGGCCAAGATGGTGAAACGCTGTCTCTACTAAAAATACATAAATTAGCCAGGTGTGGTGGCAGGCGCCTGTAATCCCTGCTACTTGGGAGGCTGAAGCAGAGAATTGCTTGAACCCGGGAGAGAGGTTGGAGTGAGCCGAGACCATGCCACTGTACTCCAGCCTGGGCAACAAAGCAAGACTTCGTCTAAAAAAAAAAAAAGAACTAAAATGGATTTTGCTTTGTATAGTTACCTTTATTCCAACTACTCTAAACCATTAGTAATTTGAGAATAAGCAATATGATTGATACATATTTATATCCATCTCCCCTCCCATGGGCGCAGAGCAAGGGACTGATAGCAACCTAGTAAATGGGCACATTCATGCCTCGCTTAGCCACAGGAATACTCTCTGAGAACTGTGACATTAGGCAACTGCATCCTGGGAACACCTGCACAAGCCTTGACGGTATTGCCTACTACATACATATCCTACATGGTATAGTCTATTGCTCCCAGGCTACAAATCTGTACAGCATGTTACTGTACTGAACACTGTAGCCAACTGCAACACATTGCTAAGTACTTGTGTATCTAAACATAGAAAACGTACAGTAAAAATACAATAGTATGATTTTATGGGACCACCATCATATATGCAGTCCATCACTGACCAAAACAACCACGACTGTATGCCTCTCTGGCTCTCAGGGAAACTATAATGACTGTAGGGAGATGAAATCAATGTGAAATCTATTCATTGATCCTCTTAACAGAGTTCTATAGAGGCAATCCTCCATAGGATTAGTTATACTTGTCAGTATCCCCATGTCAAAGCACATGTGTGATAAGGACACACTTAGATGACAGAGACATAATACCTTAACCCAACCATAAGCCTTTCCACAAACCTTTGCAACAAAAACGACCCTTATTTATCCCCCTATCTGAAAAACACATGTTGTGTTCATCTACCCGCTCCCCTGAGGGCCTATTCTACTGGCCTGTTCCTCTGTATAGTTAGACATCTCACCTGCATTTCTCTTGATGCGGTTCCAGCCTATTCTTTCTTTTTTTTTTTTTTTTTTTGAGACAGAGTCTCACTCCGTCACCAGGCGCCAGGCTGGAGTTCAGTGGTGCAACCTCGGCTCACCGCAATCTCCGCCTCCCAGGTTCAGGCAATTCTCCTGCCTCAGCCTCCCAAGTAGCAGGGACTACAGGCGCACGCCACCACCCCCAGCTAATTTTTTGTATTTTTAGTAGAGACAGGGTTTCACCATGTTGGCCAGGATGGTCTCGATCTCTTGACCTCGTGATCTGCCCACCCCGGCCTCCCAAAGCCAGCCTATTCTTTCTAGTCCTCCTCTTAAAAACTAAATTTTGTCAGGAGGCTCAAAGACAACAAGTGGGTCACAGAGTGACATGGCGGTAGAGAAGGGGGTGGAGAAGTAAACACTGCCACAGACCAGTGTCTAGACACACACACTGAATCCCAGGCTGTCCATCTCCTCATCCTCCTGAATACCCACCATCTGCCAAAGCCAACAGCCAGAAGAGCCAAGATCTGTGTTCGAAACCTAACTCTTCCGCAGACTAGCTGTGTGACCATGTGCAAGTTATTAACGCGTCTGTGCTTATGGCCTAGTAAGCTCATTAGTAAAACAGGGAAAGTGATGCCTCTTTCGTGGGGTGGCTGTAAGGGTCACGAGGGTGAAAGAAGTGCTTTTATAAATGGTTTAGCTAGTGATTAGTTAAGCGATTAAAAAGTTTTAGCTCCAGGATCACTCATACTCCAATCCCCAGACACTTCCTCTGAAACTAGGGAGGAGGTGGTATAAATAAACCCTGCTGTTAGTACGACTAAATAAAGAAGTCTCATACACATTCACACATGCACAAACACACACACACACACCAACCAGAACCAGCACTTCAGACACACCCAGGAGGTAAACTGATGCCATTGCCTTTCCCCTATAGATAAAGTTCAAACCAGTCGAGGGTGCCAGTCCCCTCCCATCCTTTAGTTCTGAGCTGCCCAGCCTGGTGCCCCCATCTTCATCCCCTGCTACTCATTAAAGACTCAACATAAACCCTGCTCCCCTGGCCTGCCAACCCAAGTCAGAGTGCCCAAAAAGCACCAAAACACACTTCTCTCCTCCCTACCAAACACAGGGGCCAAAAATGAACCCAATTTCTGAGACCCTTGCCTGCTGTGTCTTCAAGTACCCCAGGGAACTAATCCAAGCACTGCTGCTGGGGTCCTGGGAGGAGAAAGGGGAGGGGAGTAAAGAGAAGGGAAGAAGTTCTCGTCATTTAATCAGTCTCAGGAATCAGGGGTTTGGAGGGTCTCCCGGGTGGGCAGCGTTCCCAGGAAAGAGATGGGGGGAGGGGATCGCTGGATGAGATCAACAAGTGGAAACGTCAAGAGGGATGACGAGGCGGGGAGGGAAGTCCAGACTCCGCGCAGGACAGGCAGCTGCCCCAGTCTGGGGAAGGGGGAAGCTGTTTTAAAGGAACGTGCCCCACTGCCTTTCACCTTGCCCCTCACTTCCCAAGACACAAATACATGTACTCAGTCCCCTGCTCAAACTAACCATGGATTATCCGGGGTTAAAAGGAGGCCAGGGAGGAGAGAGGGAGAGAAGACAGAGCCCGTTACAAAAAGGAGACCCTTTTCCCCTCCAAAGGCCTTTCAGAAATAAAATTAATGGAATGTGTCTCGGTATCATCCCAAGGGGATTGGGGGTAGCTGGGTTGGGGGGGGAGGTGTAATGTGGGGGCTTTTGTCCTGGCTGCCCAGCTTCTCCCACATTGATCACCATGGCAACAAAAGCCCCCTGTTGCCTAGGTGATGGCAGCCAGGTCCTGGAACCCATACCCAGCATCCAAAGGGAGGGAGGTTATGGAGGTGGGGGTGATAGGGACAGAGGGGGAGAGAATGAGGTTTCTCCTCTGGCGGCCCCAGCTTTTGTCTGAGCTCCAGGATCAGGTTTCTCCAGGAAACAATTGGAGGCCTCTGGAAAAAATACACTCAGAACCTGGCAACAGGCAGAGGGAGCAGGGCCCTAGAGTTGTGTGAGTGTGTCTCTGTGTGTG